AGAACTAAAAAATAAATATTAAAAATTCTTTCTCTCTCTCTCTCTCTCTCTCTCTCTCTCTCTCTCTCTCTCCTCTCTCACTCTCTCTTTAAAAAAAAAAAAAGAAGAAGGACCTGCCCTCAGATCTTGGTGGTGGTGGGGATCCACATTGGAGCAGGCTCTTTAGCCAGGTGCACCTGTTTTCCCAGCTTCTCAGGAAGCTGAGGTAGGAGGATCACTTGGGCCCCAGTAGTTCAAGGCCAGCCTGGGCAACCTAGTGAAACCTTGTCTCAAATATAATAATAATAATTAATTCAGTAAGTGTTCTGATAAACTATCAGCAGGTGAAGGCAGGGAGTGAGAGATGCTTAGTTTCTGAGAAGTGCTCTGGGAAGCCACTGATAGGGAGGGATGTTTGGTGCAGTAGGTCTGGCCCCCTCCCTCTGGCCCATGAGGTTGCTTTCAGTGAACACTGCTGCCACCTGCTCCCTGGCCTGGGGTGGGAACGGCCCTGCAGCCCTGGGCTTGCTCTCTTTTTGAGCTTTACCACCTTTGCAGGCTTTTCATCCAAAGCAGCCATGTGGCCATGATTGAGGCTCCCATTGTGGTGTCTGTTCCTCCTGCCTGCCACAGAGCAGGATAGGGTTGTATGTGGGATTTGGGGAGGGCTTCATTTGATTGCTACATCACAGAAGCCACGTGCCACATCATGTAAATTAAAGGACATTTGAAGATTTCCAGCAGCTTTCAGCCACAGCTGCAAGTCAGGCCTGTCACTGGGGGGACTTCCCTGAGGAAAGAGTGGGTGGTGAGGGTGTGATATTAAGTTCAGCGGACCTACAGAGAGAGCAGCAGGTCAGTCCATGCCCTGGTGTGTGACTAGAACATTTCTGGGACAAGGACCGGCTGACCTTAACGTGGTCTGTTTGCTTGCTTTGGAATGCGCTTTGTTTCCAAGGTAGCCTTATCAGGGTTTCTGACCAGGTCTCCTCTGGTGGAAACAGCCCTGGCCCCAGGTTTCTGGCGTCTGACCCTTTGAGCTGTCATCTGCACGTGACTGGTGCTCCCCTGAAGGTCGCCTGGCCTGGCTGGTGGTCTGTGTCTGCAGTGCTGTGTGTCAGTGAGTGGTGCTGCTTTGAGGTCATGCCACCTGCACTCAGGGTGTACCGTGCGCCTGGTGTCTTCCAAAGAAAGACTGCTATCGGCTTGTGCCAGGCGGAGGGCCTCAGTCAGGGGCGTCGAGAGCCCCTTGGTGTGTGTGTGKGGGGGGGGCTTCCTGAGGGCATATGCACACCCACTTGAAATAAGTGGACACTGGGTTCTGTTTATTTTGTTTTTTGGCACCAAGGATTAAATCTAGAGGTGCTTAATCGCTGAGCCACATCCCCCAGTCCTTTTTTTATTTTGAGACAGGGTCTCTCTGACTTGCTTAGGGCCTTTGAACTTGCTGAGGCTGGCTTTGAACCTGTGATCTGCCCGCCTCAGCCTCGAGTTGCTGGGATCACAGGTGGAGCCCTTACAACTGACACCCTGTCTCCATTGGACAAGTGCTTTTTGAGGGAAGTTGCAGATATCAGAACACTTCACCTGTGTATCCCTTTTCTGCCTGTTCCTTTCTTCTAAGAGACAAGAATGTCCTTTCTTGCAGTCCTGTCACCGAAGACATCCAGGAAAGGTAATGAAAAGCCTGGTGCCATCCAGCGCCCAGCACACAGCCAGCTTTTCCAGTTGTCCCCGCCTGTTCTTAGGTGGCTGTGTCCTGCCCACTCACACGTCCATTCCTCCTCTGTGCACTCTGTGGGCTCTGTGACCTGAGTGTGGTCTGAGTTGTGCTGTGTGCATTGGATTGTGCTGTCCTCCACAGCTGATGCAGGAGCTGGAGGGGACTTTGGATCAGGGACAGCCCTGCAGTCGGCACGTGGCCTGTGGGTCTTGCACAGAGCTTGTGTTGGTCGGCCCCAGGACCACTGGGCAGCAGTGTGCAGCCACGCAGTGCTGTGGTTCCTCCTACCCTGATTACCCTCCCTCGTCCTTAGCCACCTCAGAAGACAGGACATGAGCGGGTTCTTCCCTCAATTGCCAGTTCTGAGAAGCACTTGGTTGTGTCACATGATGCCACTGCAGCAGGGGTTGGTGGTTCCTTTTTCTGTGAATGTCAAGGCAGGCTGACACTTTGCTGTGATCTTTTAAAAGCCTGTCACTGTTGTGTGTGGCGCTCAAATTGTAAGCATGACCAGTGAGGAGTCCTGGTGAGCTGGTCCTGTCCCTTTGCTGGGCATGTCTTCCTGATGCTTGCTTGTGGCCTGGTGTCCTGGCTCACTTCACTTTCTCTTTCACACTCCGGCCAGCCATGTCCTGAGTGCTTTGTTCCTTTTAGTTTTGTTTAATTTTGCAATGCTGAGGGTTGACCAGGAGTTGCTTATGATGGGTGAGGACTCCACCATTGAGCCACGCCCCTAGCCCTGTTCATTACTGCTTGTAGTCCTTTTGGTGGACACAGCTAGGAGATAGATATATATGGAATTACTTGTCCACTAAGCCACATCCCAGCCCTATTTTGCATTTTATTTAGAGACAGGGTCTCATTGAGTTGCTTAGCGCCTTGCCATTGCCAAGGCTGACTTTGAACTCATCCTCCTGCCTCAGCCTCCCAAACCGCTGGGATTACAGGCATGCATCATTACTTCCAACAGAAATATATCTTTAAAACATGAGTTTGGGCTGGGATGTAGCTCAGTGATAGAGCACTTGCCTAGGTTGTGCAAGGTGGAGGTTTTAATCCCCAGAACCAAAAAAAAAAAAAAAGCATCAAGAGTTTAATCCTAATTTAAAATTATACCAGGCATGGTTGCACACTTGGAATCCCAGTGGCTTGGGAGGCTGAGGCAGGAGGATCACAAGTTCAAAGCCAGTGTCAGCAACTTGGCTTCCTCTTGTCACGCACCCTGGATACTAATTCCCATTACGAGAGCTCACAGTAAAAAAGGGCTAGGGATGTGGCTCATTGGTTAAGCACCCCTGGGTTCAGTCCCTAGTACCAAATAATAATTTCAAATTACATGGTTTTATTTCGTTTCTTTGATTCTTCAAATTTGCTCTTTATTTATAGTCTTAATTTTTAATATAGTTGGCCTTCTGTATCTATAGCTTTTTCAGGTTCAACAAAGAATCAGAAATATTTGGAGAAAAGATTGTGGCATATTGAACATGTACAGATTTTTTTTCCTAATCATTGTAACAACTACTGCATAGGAATTACACTGTGTTAGGTGCTATGAGTGACCTAGAGATGACTTAAAGTATACGCAGGACGTGTGCATGCAGATATTTTGGTATCTTTGGGGGTGGGAGTGATGGTGTCCTAGAACCAGTTCCCAGAGGCTGATGGACAGCTGCCATGGGCAAGATTTGTTTTATGCTGACGTAGATGTAAAATGGCAGTAGTGAAGTTAAAACATTACACTGCCACTAATAAAACTACTTAGTGATATTTTGGAAAGTCGTGATTTTTAAAGTTCTTTTGCTCCTTAGTATATATTCCCCTTGGGACAAATGGTTGAAATACTGCATTTAAAAAGTCCCTTAACAAATATTCCTTTCTGTGGTTATGTTGCCCATTTGATATGCAATTAAGTTTGTTTTCAGATTTAGATTTTTTTTTTACATCTTAATTTCATGTACAAAGTTACATGGTCTAAAAGTCAGAACCATACAATCTACATTGAGAAAACCTGCCCTGCCAGGCACAAGGCTGCACACCTGTGATCCCAGCAGCCCTGGAGGCTAAGGCAGGAGGATCACAGGTTTCAGACCAGTTGCAGCAACATAGTGAGACCATGTCTCAATAAAAAAAAAAAAAATTAAAAGGGCTGGGGATGTGGCTCAGTGTTTAAGTGCCTGGGGTTCAATCCCTAGTGCAAAAAAAACCCAACCAACCAACCTGCCCCAAGTCCTTCCTTCCTAAGGATAGCCATTGTTAACACATGGGGTTGGGGTGGTGGCTCAGCCGTAGAGCGCTCGCCTAGCACATGCAAGGCGCTGGGTTCTATCCTCAGCGCCACATAGAAATAAATGTATTGTATCCAACTACAACTAAAAATATATACAACTAAAATATGTAAACATAAACACACACACACACATATATATATATATATATATTTTTTTTTTTAAGTGAACACACACCCTGCCTCAGTTTCTTATATGTCTTGCATCAGTGAGTGCCCACTTCTGGGTCTGTTCCTGGTGGGGTCATCTGTTTCAGTGCCTTTCCACATTCCCTATTGTGGGCATGGTGCCAGAGGACACTGGTATTCCTGTGAGTTTGGATTTTTGTGAGGATGACATGGTGGAAATGGTATCTTGGA